GTTATACATAAGATAAACAACATATAAACAATTTTGAAAGAGATTAAATATAATACACAATTCAAAATGACACAAAAAATCTAAATCAAATGTAGTTATACATAAGATAAATGACATATAAACCCAAACCTAACAAAAAAAGTTAGCCTAAAAAATTCCCATTAAACAGTCCTACTTTCTTCACGATCTTCTTCACGCGACCAACGTATGCTTGCGATCCGGCCACACCAGCATAGCGATCCAGCCAGCCCCAACAAAATTCCAGCCGCGTGAGCTGGCCAGCACCAAAAAATCCGGCCACACCAGCACCTGTCTTTGGCCCTCACTTTCAACCTCCCCATGTAATTCCCTCCTTTCGACACTGACCTTCGACAGGAACTCCTGAAATCATTGTCTCCTCAATTTCGTAAAATTCATGCTATTTCTCTTGAAATTTAACTTAATTGGGTGAGAGATAGGGGATTACGATAAAGTCAAGAGAGACGAAAGTGAGAGAGAGATTGGGTTGCGTTGGGATATTAAATCACAAGAGAGAGAAAGTGGGAGAGAGAGAGAGTGGGGGCTTTGAAATATTAAATCTCCATCGTATTTTTGATGAAAAGTTTAGCATTTTGTATTTTTAATATTATTTGCCAAGCCATTAGTAAAAGGTGTAATTTTCTCATTTCAATATCATATATCATAGAACTAAAATAAAAGCCTAGCTAGCTACTTTATTCTATCCATGGGCTCCGCTGCTATGTCTACAATATGGTACTACAAAAGACTCCCCACTGTCAGCATGTCATGTTCTCAAAATTAATATTGGGCCACAAAAGACTCGAGTCCAACAGGTCTTCTTTCTCTTCTTTTTAATTACAATTTCATACAATAAAAAATTTAGCCCAAGTTACAAATGTGTACTGATGGGCCTCACTTATATAATATTAATTATTATATGTCAATTTTCACAAGTAGACGTGAGAAAAACATAAAAATGACATCACTATCAATGCACAATAATAAACAAAATAGCACAAGTTGTGGAACGTATCAACTAATAAACACCAAAATGCTCCTTCTTTGTACTAAAAAAAAAAAAAAAAAAAA